TGTGTGTGTGTGTGTGTGTGTGTGTGCAGAGAGAGAGAGGGAGAGAGAGAATCAATCCTAAGCAGGCTTCACGCTGTCAGTACAAAGCCCTACGTGGGGCTGGAACCCATGAACTGTGACATCATGACCTGAATCAAAATAAAGAGTCAGACGCTTAACCAACTGAACCACCCAGGTGCCCCAGAGGAGAAACACTTTCAGATATAAACTCCCAAGCCTGGCTTCCCTATTTCCCCCCCACCTACCTGTCCAGCAATAACCCCCTCTTTTCCAGGTGCTAAGCCCTTCACTCTAACCATTTCAGTCTACTCCCTGTTGCCCAAACTTGCCATTTATTAATGAATTCGGCCATTCATGAAACATGTATGCAATGGTTAATTTTATGTGTCAGCTTGACTGGGCTAAGGGATGCCCAGATAGCTGGTAAAACATTGTTCCTGGGTGCATCTGTGAAGGTGTTTTTTGGAAGAGATTAGCATGGGAATGTTGAACTACGGGAAGAACCTTGCTGCCGCCAGTGTGGGTGGGCATCATCCATTCTGTGAGGCCTGAACGTAAGAAACAGGAAGAGGGGTGAATTTGCTCCTTGTTTGAGCTGGCATCTCCACCTTCTCCTGTCCTTGGACATCATCAGCACTCCTGGTTCTCAGGCCTTTGGAATTACTCCACTGGCTTTCCTGGTTTTCCCACTTGTAGATGGCAGACTGTGGGAATTCTCAGCCTCCACAATCTTGAGCCAATTCCTATAATAAACCTCCATATATACTCTATTGGTTCTGTTTCTCTGGGGAACCCTAATATAACCTATTAATTGTCCATGAAGACCTAGGCACTATATTCAGTGTCAGGGCTACACAGATAATAAATAAAGGGATGGGGAAATATAGTGGTTAAAATCAGAGACATTGGAGGGGCACCTGGGTGGCTCAGTCGGTTGGGCACCAGACTCTTGATCTTGGCTCGGGTCATGATCTCAGTTTATGGGTTTGAGCCTTCCCCCACATTGGACTCTGCGCTGACAGTGTGGAGCCTGCTTGGGATTCTCTCTCTCCCTTTCTCTCTGCCCCTTCCTCGCTCTCTCGCATTCGCAAAATAAATAAATAAATGATAAAAACCTAAAAAAAAAAGAAAAAAATCGGAGACATTGGCTTAGTAGACAGACCTGAGTTCAAATCCCAGTTTTGCCATTTGTCTTTTCTTGTATGAGTCACAGTACCTCTCTGGATCCAAAATGGTGGTAAGGATGCGGTTACTGTGCAAATTAGGTGAGAGCTTAATCTGCAGAGCATTTGGCAACAGTGCTCATACAGCACATGAAGTCATAAGTAGTCGCAGTGGTTTGCAGCAAACCATACTTTGCGACCCAGGCTGGGATGCCCAGAAGTAGATCCTGAGACAAAGATTCAAGAGGACTTTTTTTTTTTTTTTTTTTTTTAAGGTGAGGGCGGAGGAGGAGGGAGGAGGAGTGGGTTAGTGCGAAGGAGCCCAAGCAACGTGTCATGAAAGGCAACCGGGCTCAAAGGGCTGGCATGTCGATACCCCCACATTTATCGGTCATCCTTCAAAGGTTGGGAGAGAGGTGGGGGCAGCGAGGATGCGAGGGAGAAACACAGGTTCTTCCAGCACGCCAGTGTCCCAGCGGTGGGAGCCCTAGGCGAGGCTGCTGAGAGTGACAGCACACTGGGAGGCACAGGCACCAAAATGGTAAAGCGATCCCACAGAAATGTGCAGGGCCGTCTCTGCCCCCAAGAAGCTCGAGGCCTAGGAGCGGAGGGCAGGCGGAAATAAATCCTTACCCTCTGAGTTTTGTTCCACGCACTGTTGCGCCGCAGACCGCGGTAGCGCAGGGAAGGGGGCGCAGGTGAGTGGGGCGCGGCGTCATTGAAGAGAAATACCACCGGCTGGAGACAGGAAGCCCTTTCCAGACACTGGGAGCGGCACCAAAAAGGCAGGAGGCGGGGACTGGCAGAGCACCGGTGAGCAGGGGTGGGTCCTTCAGGGCTTGGGCGTCGGGTAAGTTTGCGCCTGCGCCTGCGCCTTCGCTGGAGCCGCCCCTACCCACATTCTCCCCAGCCCGGCCCGCAGCCCGGCGACCTGCCCTTCCCGCGCGCGCGCGTGCCTTCTTCCAGGAAGCCTCCTCTGACTATTCCAGCTCCCCGTGACTCCCTTCTGGACTCACGGCGTTTATTGGCGAGGCTATTTGGTGCTTACTCATATAATTATTTAGTTACTCGCATCCTGTCTGTGACATTGTTATTTAACTTTTCATACAAATCCTTTCTTTCCCGGCTTAATTTTAAGCTTCCGGAGAGTGGAAACTGTTTGTTTTTATTTTCTATATTCCCCCATGGCACCTGGCATTGATGGACATATTAAGGTATAAGATAATGACTGAATCTCGTGAACCTAGTCCACACTGGAAACTATTAAATTCTAGGCTCACCCCTACAATTATTACGTGTTCTAGGATTCTTTCTAAACTAAAATTAGGTGGTTTTTTTGTTTTTTTGGGTTTTTTCCCAAACTGGTCACATACCGGTTTTGATGGGGGGCGGGGGGGTTGCCGTGTAAACAAATTTGATCTCAAGTGTGAATTTTAAGGTCATGCACAATTTCTTTTAGCCCCTCTTCAGCGCCCAACCCTGGTAAACCACTTGATTGACATTAGGCAATTGAGATCCCTTGGCTCCTGCCTTTTTAACTTTCCAGCGTAAACACTCCCTTAACGAAGTTTTTAAAAATTATGCATGCTTTACACGTTTTTAAGTGAACAGTTAACATTTTTAATCATAAGTTTGAATATTGTAAAGGGTATACTTTCCAGGGAATTGTATATACTTACCTGTTAAAAATCACATCACTCTTTCAAACTATATTCAGATGGGGGCGCCTGGGTGGCTCAGTCGGTTAAGCGTCCAACTTCAGCTCAGGTCATGATCTCACAGTCTGTGAGTTTGAGCCCCGAGTCAGGCTCTGCGCTGACAGCTCGGAGCCTGGAGCCTGCTTCAGATTCTGTGTCTCCCTCTCTCTCTGCCCCTCCCTAGCTCATGCTCTGTTTCTCTCTGTCTCAAAAATAAATAAAAACATTTAAAAAAAACTGTATTCAGATGAAATGCTGCAACATTTTCATATCTACAACACCCTTTTAATAAGTGAGCAAGCCTTTTAACCAGTCAGCAAATTTAAACTTATTTTTGTTTAGTTTTTTCCATTCCACTCTTCCTAGTTTTATCCTAATGAAATATATTTTCATTGTATTGCTTTTTTTGTATTTTATTGTATTTGGGGGGAAGTCTTTTCATATATCTCTGTAACAAAAATATGTATATAAATTGAAATTTATTTTCTGTGACCATAAGACTGTGTTACGAACAGTTATGCTGCAGTGGGTTTATAACTACAATTATTACAAGATACAGTTGGTCAAAACTACAAATATTGACGATGATTAAACAGAATAAGCTTTTATTTAAGATGCATCTCTTGGGGCGCCTGGGTGGCTCAGTCGGTTGGACGTCCGACTTCGGCTCAGGTCATGATCTCGAGGTCTGTGAGTTCGAGCCCCGCATCGGGCTCTGTGCTGCCAGCTCAGAGCCTGGAGCCTGTTTCGGATTCTGGTCTCCCTCTCTCTCTGACCTTCCCCCGTTCATGCTCTGTCTCTCTCTGTCTCAAAAATGAATAAATGTTAAAAAAAAATTTTAAAAAAAGATGCATCTCTTAATGAGATGGAAAGGGCTGGTTTCTATTCCCCACTGATTTTTGTTTGCTAAGTTTCTATTCCCCACTGATTTTTGTTTGCTAGCTCTAGGAAGAGCACTCTCCTCCAGTTCAAGGTGAGCAAGAGAGCTTGGCTTTTCTCTGTCCAGAGGGAGAAGGGTGGTTTGTTATCGGACACCAGTGGAAAACGAAAACATGGTACAGTCATCAGGCAGATTCATTTTTGGAAGGGGTACATATACTTCTGGAAATTGATCCCCTTAGAACTTAGTCCTGCCCACATACCCCTGGGAAAGTTTTCATGTTCAGCCAGGGGTGTGCAAGCCATGAGCTATTAAAAAGAGACATAACTTGGTTTCTCATTCTCCAAAATAGGGGTTCCAGAATGGGAGAAATGTGGGTCTGAATGCCCTTGTAATTCTGATAGTTACATTTCCAACTTCCTTCTGCTGAGTTCCACATCCTTATGCATAATTATGGGCAAGCCAGGAACTCATATTACTTCCAGATCTCTGTACGTTTGTGCTCTGAGGAAGGCATCTCAATATTCAAAGACCTAATCATTGGCAAAGAAGCAGCCTAGATTCAAAATTAAGAAAACATGGGGTTTTTTTATTTTTCCATTTCATGGAAGCGCCGTTTTGGTCTCCTGATAGTTTGCAGCTGTAGGCCACCAGGCGGCAGCAGAAAACACAGTGTGGGGCAGGAGTGGGAAAGAGGAAGTTGGGAAGCAAGTACTGGGGGAGGACTGGACATGAGGTAGGGGTGTATGCTTCAGTTGTCAGAGAAAACTGGTGGGGAAATGTGGGCGGAACTCAAAAGTGGACAGGAAATACTGAGAATTCAGAATTAATTGAAAGAATGAGGAAAGAAATGGAGGATAAATTGGGGAGAACTGAAGGGGAATCAGAAGGGTTCAGATGGGCTTGGAGGGCACTGAGATGCCTCTGGGGAATCCCTCTATCTGTATTCTTCCCGGGGTGGGTCAAGATCTGGCTCCTCTTGAGATCCATGGTCCACTTCAGGAGCAGGTGGCCAGGGGTGTTCTGGAGGCTGGGGTCCTGCTGGCCAGGGATCATCAGGCCGGGGAGGTTGAGGGGGATCGGTTCTTGGGGGCTCAGGAGGCCAGACTCCAGATTCAGGCAGGTCTCTCCAGGGACGACTGGGGCCAGGAGGTGGAGGGTCCTCAAAGAGAGGGGGTGCCCCTGGCCAAGGGTCACCAGGGATTGGGGGGCCCTGAGGCAATGTTGGGGACCCATCCTCTTCTCCAGCCTCTGTGGGTGGGTGAGAGGGGTGGTCTCCGTTGCCTGAGATGCCTGTGGAGGTGGAAGGAGAAAGGTAAAAGGTGATGAGGGCCAGATCCCTCCTCCCCCAGCTAGAGACTCAGAAGGCATAGCATCTCTGAGATAGACCACACCCTGAGCTGACACCACAAACACATCTCAAAAGTTAACTCACTCGGGTGCCTAGGTGGCTCAGTCGGTTGAACATCCGACTCTTGATTTCGGTTCCAGTCATGATCTCAGGGTTGGTGCCTTTGAGCCCTGCATCAGGCTCTCCACTGACAGTGCAGAGCCTGCTTGGGATTCTCTCTTTCTCTCCCTCTCTCTGCCCCTCCCTGCTCTCTCTCTCTCTCTCTCAAAATAAATAAACTTTAAAAAGGGGGGAGGGCACCTGGGTGGTTTAGTCAGTTGAGCATCCAACTTTGGCTCAGGTCATGATCTCATGACTTGCAAGTTCAAGGCCCAAATCGGGCTCTCTGCTGTCAGCACGGAGCCCGCTTCAGCTCCTCTCTGCCCTGGCTTGTGCTCTCTCAAAAATAAACATTTTTTTAAAAAATTAAAAAAGAAAAAGAAAATAAATTTTTAAAAAGTAACTCTCAAAGAAACTTTACACATTTACAGTGTATCTTTGATCTTAAAATGACATAAGAACCCTATCTGGTATCATTAACTTGACCAACTTTATTTTTTGAGAGAGAGAAAATCTTAAGTAAGCTCTACACTCAGTGCTGAGCCCAGTGCAGGGCTCAATCTCATGAACCATAAGATCATGACCTGAGCTGAAATCAAGAGTCGGACACCCAGCTGACCAAGCCACTCAAGCACCCCTAACTTGACCAACTTTAAATTGACAGGACCTGATATAAGCTCCATCCACCCTGGCTGGGACCCCCAATAGCACGGTCTCTGTGCTGGTCTGTACCTCCAAAGCCATTTACACCTTGGGCCCATGTGGCACCCAGATCCCAGCCTCTGCAGTGACACCCACCCTCTTTCACACAGTCCTCAGCTGTGAAGAATACTTGCCTATACAACCGGATTCTGATTGAAATTGCCACATGGACCTACACCTGAACCAGTAAAAACATTGAGCTACATCACCTTCAACCTCTTAACTCTTCTCCTCACGTGAATACCCAGAATCTCCTCCATCCCTACGCATCTAATTCACCCTCACCTCACTTGACCATCTTCCAACAACCCAGGTTGCACTCCTGGCTTACCTACGGCATACAGGTAAAGGACCAGGATCCCCAGTAGCTTCCAGTTGAACATCATGGCTATCTCCTGGCCCCCAAAGTTGGGGGTGGGCTGAGTCTAGGTGCCTGGGAACCCCATGAGACTTTATAGGGGAGGCGGGAGAGGAGGTGTCCAATCTCTGGGGAGGGGCCAGCCCAGTGACACAAGGAATCCCATCAGAACCTAACTGGTCAAACCCGTTTGGAAGGCCATGGCTGATGTGTAACCTCTGACGGTGGCGTCCCTCATTTTAGTCCCCCCCCCCCTCATTTTGGGACCCAGCCATCCCAGCTCTATCAATGATCTAGACCTTGGTCACCCCACCCTTGTTTTCACATCCTCCTCCCTACACACCCTGAAGCAATCAATACCCAGCTCTCAACTCCGTAATCACAGGGACTTCTACCTTTCATCCCTTGGAGCCATTGGAAGCCAAGGAATGGGAGCAAGCCTTGCGTGGGGAAGCAGTATAATTACAGGGGCTGGGAGGCAGGACGCTCGGGGAGGAGCAGGGAGAGTTGCTCCTGTTTAAACACACAGGATGCAGCTGGGATGGTCTCAGCCAGCACCCCGAGCCTCCCCCTTGGGACTCAGTTTTACCCTTGGAACTTCCACTCCCCTTCTAGACTGCTTTCCAGCATGTGCCTTCATCAGACACCCAGGGGGCCTCCCAAGCAGTGACATCTGAAGAATTTCATCCAGAAGCCAACTGGGGTGATGACAGGTGAGAAGTATGAGGACATTCTGACTCCTTCTCCCCACCCCAGAGCAGGCTCCATCAGTCACAGCCCAGAGGCTTAGGAGGGACCTGCCTCTGCTTCCCCAGTCATCTCAGCCTCTTCCTCCTCTCTCTGGAACCCTGCTCACCGGCCCCTGTGACTGCTTCCCTGGTCCTTGGTGCCAGCTCTCTGTGGCCCCCCATTGCCTGGGACCTTTAAGCCTTGGTCCAAGTCTTGTCGAAGTTTCTCAGAGACCCCCTTAGAACCTCTTCCTCAGGAAAGCCTCCTCTGGTCTGAAGGTCTAGTGAGCTTCTCAGAAAGCCTTCCAAACAGAACACCCTTCCTCCCCAGGCTATTCCCCACCTCATCTGGTGCCTCCTAGTGAGGGACAGTGGTGTCACTTGAAACTTTCATTCTGCTCCTTCCCCCCCACACTCCCCAAGCCAAGCCCAACCCACCTCCCCATTCTGGAGCCCATCTCTCCCCAGACCCCAGTACCCTCCTAGCCCCCACTCTTCATCCCTCCCCGCACCCAAACCCCGTCCTCCACAGCCAGCCAAACTAACTCTTAAAAATGTCACCCTAGGGGCTCCTGGGTTGAATGTCTGACTTTGGCTCAGGTCATGATCTCCTGGTTCGTGAGTTCAAGTCCCACATCAGGCTTGCTGCTGTCAGCAAGGACCCCGCTTTGGATCCTCTGTCCTCCTCTCTCTCTGTCCCTCCACCCCGTTCATGCTCTTTCTCAAAATTAAATTTTTTTTTCAACGTTTTTATTTATTTTTGGGACAGAGAGAGACAGAGCATGAACGGGGGAGGGGCAGAGAGAGAGGGAGACACAGAATCGGAAACAGGCTCCAGGCTCCGAGCCATCAGCCCAGAGCCTGACGCGGGGCTCGAACTCACGGACCGCAAGATCGTGACCTGGCTGAAGTCGGACGCTTAACCGACTGCGCCACCCAGGCGCCCCTCAAAATTAAACATCAACAACAACAACAAAAAAATCAGCCTAATTGTGTGGCTGCTTCCCAGCTTTAAATTACTCCAAGGGCTTCCTACTGACTTAGATAAAAATCCCCTCTACCAGGTCCTCCCTTCCCACTCGGCCTCTGTGCTTGTCTGTCCTCCGCAGGACTCTTCTGGAGTGCTGCCGGTGTGGCTCCTCTGCTTGCTTTCCGCAGCAAAGGTCTCCACACATCTCCCCCTCAAGGCCTTTCTTGTCCCCTCATCTAGCCGTCTCTCCCCAATCAGGTTCTATCACATCACTGTATGTGTCTTCTCTTCATGGCAATGCTGCTTTGCCCACTTAGGTACTTGTCCATCATCTGTCCCCCCTGCCCTGATGTCAGTGCTGTGGGAGCAGGGACCCACCCGTCAAGCCACCACTGCAGCCTCTGAATGCCTCTGAACAAGGACACCGCCTTAGCTCTGAGATTCCTGTCAAATGAGTGATGTCTTATATTCCTCATTCCTGACAGTGATTATCTTCCAGAGGTAAAGAGTTGGGTTTCTTTTTTCTTTTTCTAGAGAGTGCAAGTGGGGGAGGGGCAGAGGGAGAGAGGGCCAGAGGATCTGAAGCAGGCTCTGTGCTGACAGTAGAGAGGCTGAAGTGGGGCTTGAACTCAGAAACTGTGAGATCATGACCTGAGCCAAAACCAAGTGTCAGACGCTAAACCAACTGAGCCACCCAGGCACCCCAAGAGGTAAAGAATTTTAAAACAAAAGTTGAGGGGCGCCTGGGTGGCTCAGTCAGTTAAGCGTCTGACTTAGGCTCAGGTCATGATTTCACGGTCCGTGAGTTCGAGCCCCACATCAGGGTCTGTGCTGACAGCTCTGAGCCTGGAGCCTGCTTCGATTCTGTGTCTCCCTCTCTCTCTCTCTCTGCCCCTCCCCCACTTGCATTCTGTCTCCCTCTCTCAAAAATAAACATTAAAAAATTAAAAAAAAAAAAGTTGAGAATAAAGAAAACCTGGAGCTTCTCAAAAAACTTCCCAAGCAGCCCAGGAAAAGGGGTTTTGAAAAAGGCACCACCTAGAGAAATAGCTGTGTGGGACTCCTCACATTTTCCGGAAAGCGATGGCTGCTGGGAGAATTCCCTTCCATTCCCAGAGACAACATGGCTCCTACTGTATTCATCTTTATTGTGCCACAGAAGAATTCACAGACATCTTGGTAGCTCGTGTCCATGAGGGTAGCTGGCTGACCTCCCTACCCCACCCCACTTCTCCAAGATCCTCCCCGCCCACCTTGAGCCCCCAGCTGCTCAGAGTGCCCGCTGCTCAGAGGCAGACTGGAGGAGGATAGTTCTGGTTGTCTCCTTGAGAAACAGCTTCCTCTTTGGAGATGGCCTCACTCAGGCCCTGCAGATCATCAAGCAGGACAGAGAGCGATCCTGGGAAAGAAGACCCCAAGGGATAGGAGCCCACCAAGAGAAGGCTGTTGCAACTACCGCGCAGAGAACAGGGCATCAGATGGGAGAGTTATGAGGGAGAGGGTTCTCTGGCCCAAGACAGGCATGGATAAGAGAGGTTGTTGGGCCTCCAAGGGTCATGGAGAACAATGCTCATGCATTAAGAGTGCCTGGAGGAAAGATTGCTAAAGTCCCCCTCATGTGTCCCTTCCTACATCGACCATTACCTTTTATGGACTCTCTGCTGGTGGGTGCTACTGCTGGAGGCACACGTGCTGAAGACCCTGGGGCCCTGGGGCCGGACTCCACAGATTTCCCCTTATCCAGCAGGGAAGGAAGAACTGCCAACAGTCGCTGCTGCTTGTAACGGGAGAGGAGACCCTCCTGCTGCAAGGTGGCCTGGGAAGGAGAGGGTTAAACGCCACCGAGCCCAGGCAGAGCCAAGCCTCCTTCTTCTACACCTCTGCTCCCCCACCAGCTCAAGAAGGGCCCTGGTCTCTGCCATCCCCTACCAGCATAAGGTTCTTGTCCCTTTCTAACTCCTGCAGGCGTTGGGTCAGCCGCAGCCCCTCCTCCTTCCGGGCCTCATCTTGCAGGCGCCTGAGCTCCTGGTTCCGTTCCTTTTCCCGGGTGGCTTTGCGCTGCATCTGGCGCAGGGAGACCACTATGTGGAAGCCAGGGCACAGAGGGCACAGGTGTGGGGCAGCCCAGAGGCAAAGAGGCACCATGAGAACAGTACTGGAATGATGGGCAGGAACACCGGGCCCCCAGCTCTATGGCTCAGGGAAGCCATTTATGCTCTAGAACTGTCTCTTCTGTCTGGTGGCTAATGCTCCACGACCCTATGGTCCTGTGAACCCAAAGTACCTTCCCCATCCCTGAACTTAGGGGAAATCTGAATATGAACTGGATATTAGATTTTATGCAATTAATGTTCTTAATGTGACAATCATATTGAGGTTATGTAGGAAATTTTCCTCCTTGTAGGAGATGCAGCTGAATGGTCATAATGTTTGTAACTTATTTTAAATGATTCCCCAAAAAAACGCATGTATCAGTGTATGTGTATATATGGATAGAGCAAATGTAGCAAATGATTAGGAACGGCTGGGCACCTGGCTGGCTCAGGTGGCGGAACGTGTGACTCTTGATGATCGGTTCAAGCCCCACATTGGGTATAGAGGTTACCTAAAAAATAAAATCTTGGGGTACCTAGGTGGCTCAGTTAGCTAAGCATCCAACTCTTGATATCGGCTCAAGTTGTGATCTTATAGCAGTGAGATGAAGCCACACGTTTGGCTCCTTGATGAGCATGGAGCCTTCTTGGGATTCTCTCTCTCCCTCTCTCTCAGTTCCTCCCCTGCTGTCTCTCAAAATAAACATTTTTTTAATTGAAAAAGATTAATTAACTGTTAACATCTAGTTAGAGGTATACAAGTGGGCATTACGTGACTCATAACTTGTGTAGGTATTTGAACTTTTTCCTAATAAAAAGTTGGGGGGAGGCTCCTGGCTGGCTTAGTAGGTAGAGCATGACTCTTGATCTCGGGTTTTTGAGTTCAAGCCCCATGTTAGGTGCGGAGTACTTAAAAAGAAAATCTTTGGGGGGCTCCTGGGTGGCTTAGTCAGTTAAGCGTCCAACTCTTAGTTTTGGCTCAGATCATGATCTCACAGTTTCATTGAGTTTGAGCCCTGTCTTAGGCTCTGCACTGCCAGCTTGGAGCTTGCTGGGGATTCTCTCTCTTTCTCTCCACACCCCACCCCCATCCCTCCTCCACTCGAGCTATGTCTCTCTGAAAAATAAATAAACATAAAAAAACAAAATAATTTTGCAAAAAAAATAAATAAAACACTTGAAAAAAAAATGTTGGGGGTAGACACACACAGGAAAGAACACCATGTAAAGATGGAGACAGAGAATGGAATGATGTGCCTACACACCAAAGACTGCCAGCAACTGCCACAAGGCAGGAGAGGATCATAAAACAGATTGTCCCTCAGAGCCTCTAGGCTCTGTGTGCACCAACCCTGTGTGCATCTTGAGTTCAGAATTCTAGCTTCTCGCTTCCAGGGCTGTGAAAGAATAAATGCATATTGCGTTATGGGAAAAAAAAAATTGGGGGTAACTGTTGGTATGAGGTTGGGATGGGTGTTGCCTTTGTGAAGGAGAGTGGCTGGGAGGGGCTTCGGAGGCTTGGGGCTGGTCACATGCCAGTGCTTGATACGGGCACTGGCTACCTGAGTGTGCTCACCACCTGAGAATTTGTGCCATTTCTTGATAACTTCATTATTTGCATACTACCAAAACAGCTTTTAAAAAACCTATGTCCAACACTTCCTGAATCTCCCCAGAAGCCCATGTGCATCCCAGCAAATCTCACCTGCCTTGCCATGCTCCCTCCGAGCCTCATTCAATCTCCTCTCTGTTTCTAAGAGCTGCTCCCGAAGCCTAGTTTCCACTTCAGCCACCTTCTCTTGCAGAGCTGGGGGGGTGGGGAGGTGCAAATGGGGTGTGACAGGGGTAGCTTTGGTTCTCTGCTGCCCCCAGTCCTCCAGGGTAAACCCATTTCCCCTCCGGCACACCTTGCCCATAGATCTCCTGCTGCTGGGTCAGTTCCTGTCGGAGACTGGCAGCCTCCTGTGTGCTCTCCTGCTGGCCCTGGCGAGCTGCTTCCAGCTGCAGCCCCACACTAGCCAGGGACTCCTGGGTCCGCTGCAGCTCCTGCTCCAGCTGCTGGGCGACCTTGCTCAGCTGCTGCCGCTCCGCCTCCCCTGGGAAGAGGTGGCACTCACAGGCCTCCCCTTGCCAGGCCCCAGCTCTTCCCTCCTCTCCACCCACAAGGCACCCAATTCAGACCTGTGCTTCAGCCCAGGGACTCCAGCACCAAGAGTACCTTGCTCCCGGGCCTGGCCCACCTCCCGCTGGATGATATGGGCACTCAGCTGCAGTTCTGTGTCCAGGCGGTTCCGTTCTTCCCGCAGCTGCTCCAACTCAAGGCTCACATCTGTGGCCAGTGGGGGTTGGGGGCAGCTGGGGCAGGGAAGAGAAAGAGGGGAAATCACCCAACCTGATCCCTAAGCCCCCATCCCTCCTCAGTCCTCATTGTTTGGGGTCCCACCAAACAACACCTTAACTCCTTCCCATCCACCTCAAAGTGCCCTAAACTTCACCTCTCCTGGCGCAGCTGAACAAGGGCCAGTTTTCGAGCCATCAGGCCTGGAGGAGAAAAGGCAGAGAACAACAGAGAGGAGTTCGAGGAGGAGAAAAGGGAAGAGGGGAGTAAGGGGAAGAGATTCAGGGACTAGTGGCATGTAGGCAGGGGGACGGGTGTGGGATGAAAAAGATGGGGGAAGACGGCTACAGTGGGTCTGGCAGTTGCCCTACCTACCCCGAATGGTGTGGACTCTGCGGACGGCATAGCTGACTCGGCTGCTGAGGCTGGGAAGCCGTGTGGTGGCCCGTTCCATGTCAGCCACGGTGCTCTGGAGCCAGGTCTGGAAGCTGAGGAAGACATGAGGTTAGCGACACTTCAACCCCACCTCATTCCCAAAAGGACTTGATGTGACCTGTAGGGACAACTTCTATCCTCTACTGCTTAGCATGTGGGGAGCAGGGAAGGGCAGAACATAGCAGGAAAAAGAGAAGCTGAAGCCAGGGCTGGAGCACCAACTCTTTGTCCCGCCAGTCACGCCTGAGCTCCTCAGCCAAATAAGGAAGAAAACCCGAGAGCCTAAGTCCTTTGGTGTGTGTTAGATAAAAATGATCCAGTTGAGGGGTGCGCGCCTGGGTGGCTCAGTTGGTTAAGTGTCTGACTCTTGATCTCGGCTCAGGTCATGATTTTGCGGTTCGTGAGTTCGAGCCTCTCATGGGGCTCTGCGCTGACAATGCGGAGCCCTGCTTGGGATCCTCTCTCTCTCTCCCTCTCTCTGCCCCTCTCCACTGCTCAACACTCTCTCTCTCAAAATAAATAAATAAACATTAAAAAAAATGATCCCCTTTCTCATAAGGACAGCACAGCTATGCTTGGTCCCCAAACCTACAGTAAGGCTCTCATTTGGGTCCTCACAATCAGTGTCTTTAACAAGAGCCTTGCAGTAATGAGCAAGAATGAGCTTCATGGGGTCACATACCTCATCTGGACCCAGAGCCCATATACACAGTAGAGTTCAGTACAAATGATTCACACAGGCTACAACGAGTGCCATAAAGCTGGCTCATCTCTAGCTGATTTGGACTTTTTTGCCTGCAGGCGCCTGAACATGTCTCCTGGCTTTGGTAATCTGGTATTGTATGCCACATCTGGGTATACAGCATTTAGGTGCACTTTTCCTAAGAAACAGAGTACATAACTTCCATCAGTTTTCTAAGGGGCCCTCACCCCAAGAAAGCATTACCTGACTGTGTATCTTTTCAAGCAACCTGCAAGGTTTATTTCTCATAACCTAGTTTTTGATCACTGGTATGCATTAGAGATCAAAGCTATTCTCTCCAACAATTCCTTGATACCAGTGAAGGCCAGATACCCGTGCTTTATCAGCTGGCTGTGCCCAAAGCAGGACCAGCGTGGTGCATGAAAGCTGAGAAGCCTACACAGCCCCCGCTGGGAGGAGGACCTGCATCTCAGGGCAGGGGTGGAATACCCCAGGAGAGTCCAAGTCTGTACCAATTGGAAAATAAATGAAAGACAAAGGCTGACAGTTATATCCCTAGCAGCACAGTAGAGATCAGTTATCTAAAAAATGGTGTGAGCAGATGCGTCCAACACCTCCTGTGGCTCTTATTAAAGCCATTTTTTTCAAGTTTTTATTTACTTTATTGGGGGGAGTGGGGGCAGAGAGAGAGAGGGAAAGAGAATCCCAAGGAGGCTCCGCACTATCAGTGGAGAGCTTGATGCGAGGCTCGAACTCAACCGTGAGATCATGACCTGAGCAGAAACCAAGAGTCGGATGCTTAACCAACTGAGCCATCCACGTGCCCCTTAAAGCCATTTTCTGACAAGGTCTCCAGGCCATCTAGAGACTATCTAACAAACCTGGCAATAATCTGAGCGGGGTTGTTTTAAGCCTTGTGGACTTTTTGGCAACCAATCATTAGCAACAACCATTTCAGTGATGTCCTGATGCCAAAGTAAAACCCTGTGTACAGCATACCTTCCCGCTCTCCTGGGGACAGGAGGCCCATGCAGGGAGTTGAATCTGGGGTGGTTCGTTATAACTAGTCTCTCCAATCCCGTGCAAAGTGGAAGTTTTTCATAATTTTTAAGTGAAATTAGTCCTCCAGGTACAAATCCAATAGAAGGTGATGTTGGGCAAGGACCTATCCGGCACCACAATTTTGCTACACCAATATTCTTACGTGATCCATTCAGAACAGCCTCATGGTAATGGTAAACATTTACAGAGTGTAGATGACAAGCCAGGCACTGTGCCAGGAGCACTGTGAGGGCCACCTCAGTATCCCAAAGTCCAAAGCTGAGGAGGGGCTGTTACCCACACAAAGAAAGTATGTTTCTCCTTTAGAGGTCTTTCTAAAGGTTATAAAACAAGAGTCAAGAAGCAAAATCCTAGGAAGTCGGTATGAGAGACACAGACTTGCAATTGATTGAAAAGGAAACTGGCATACATTTCAGATGGAATATCAAATAAGCCAGTAGGTGTGCAGCTTTAAAATAAATAGAGGGGCAGCTGGGTGGCTCAGTCAGTTAAGTGCCTGACTTCCACTCAGGTCATGATCCCACAGTTTGTGGGTTCAAGCCCCGCATCCGCAACTGAGAGCCTGGAGCCTGCTTCGAATTCTGTGTCTCCCTCCCTCTCTCTCTCTGCTCCTCTCTCTCTCTCTCTCTCTCAAAAATAAATAAATGTTAAAAATTTAAAAATAAATAAATAAATAAAATAAAATAAAATAAAATAGACTAAAATGTGGTTCGAACTAAACAGGGCATAAAATTTTAAAGAAAGAAAGATGGAGTATCCACACTCCCCATCCTCAAACAACTCTGAAGGTGGAGATCCTTCCAGGGGAACTGAACTACAGGAGGAAGCACGGCCTCGCCTCCAGCCAAACGTGCACGGGAGTCATAACAAGTGACCCTTGATGAATGTGGAGCAGGCTGCCCCAGGGGAAAACCAGCACAGGGACTTTTCCAGGGCTACACACCTCTAGCCCTGCATCCTCCAATGGCCAGCTCTCCAGCCCCTCTTGCCTGAAACTCTTAACCTCCAAGGTGCCCAGGAAGCTGGGGAAGCAAAAATGCTACTCCACCCACCCTCCACCCCAGATACCTGCTGACAGAATTGGCCACAAGCTTCAGCTGCTCCTCAGCTGTGGCCGTGTGCTGCTGCCTCCGGCGCTGGGCCTCCTGGGCTCGGTTCAGCTCTATCTGCAGGGCCTGGGAAGGATACAGTAAAAAGAGGGGTCCCCTCCCAACTCCGGGGACATCCCTGACTTCCCTCAGCTCCGCCTGTCTCAGACACAGACCTTGGCGCCCATCCGCTCCACCTCCACCTCTGCGGCCTTGTCCTCCAGGGAGCGCTGCAGGATGGCCTGCTCCTGGCTCTGGGCCACAACTCTTTCCTGGAGCTCTGCCACCTGTGGGAGGAGAGGATGCGGGACAGGGCACAGCTGGAGCGGAAAGCTGGAGGGGGGCACTGGGAATGAAGGGGCTGGTGCCAAAGTCTCCGGGAGAACATCATGCAGGGAGATGAGCCTGGGTTCCTGAGAATGGAGTCTGAGTCCAGGTTTCCTTTCAGAAGCATGTTCCATGTGCCCCCCCACCCCTTGAGGAACCACCTGTGACATACCCACAAAGACTCACTGCCACTGCCCATGCCGCCATCCTTGGGCATCGTCACCTCCTCCGAAAAGCCATTCCTGACCATCCTACCTAAAGCCGGCTGACGCCATGGTCTCTTTCCGTCACTTATCTTTTACATTTTTCTTTAAAGCACACGTAATTCCTTGACATCATCTAATTGTGTGCTTGCCTGTTGTGGGTCCCTGCTCCAGAATGCAAGCTCTCTGACAGTAGTACTTGTCTCTGTTCAGGGCTATGTTCCCAGCACATGGTAGCCACTCAATAAATCTTTGCTGGACAAGTAGCATCCCTCATGTAAGGAGCCAGGGGTTGGGGG